GGGTAGCAGTCAAAGGTTGTGCATTGACTGTGGTGTCAAAGGCATTGGGGATATCGAGTCAATGGAAAGAAACATCCCAAATCTCTGTACTGGAAGCCAGCTGAGCTTGCACGCAGTGAGGAACTGGCTTGGAAAGCAGTGGGCCCTGGGTAATTGTGTGGCCCTGTGAAACTGGAGTGACAGAGAGAAAGAAAGGGGTACTGACAGAGCATGCCTAAAGCACAGCACTAAATAGAAGGGTAATTGAAATTTTAGTAGTTGTAGTGAGGCAAGAAGATGGTTTCAATACCAAGCAGAAAGGAAACATGAAGTGATGGGGCCGGTGGTTTTGTAGCCACCTGGCCCAGCGTTTGCTTCCTTTTGGCCCAGGTACAGCGGAACTGCTGCCTGACACTGTGTAACTTCAGCATTCCTGAGGAGCTGGAGTTCCAGTACCGCCGGGTCAACGAGCTGCTGCTGAACATCCTCAACCAGAGCCGGCAGGACGAGTCCATCCAGCGCATCGCTGTGCACCTCTGCAACGCTCTGGTCTGCCAGGTGGACAACGACCACAAAGAAGCTGTGGGCAAGATGGGGTTTGTCATGGTTGGTATGGTCCCAGGGTGTCTGCTTACCCTTAACCCAGGCCAGCACAGTTCCCTTGCAGCCGTTCACCCAATGCATCCAGCTGTGATCCAAACTCACAGTATCACAGGAGGGAACCACTGTCCCAGCAGTGCTAACCCTTCCTGGAGCCCCTTTGCTTGCTTACCAGCCATGATCCCAGAGACTGCCTGGGAGGGCAGGGAAGCACTGTAACCTTATACAGGTTATACCTCCTCACCACATCATGTTATTTCCACAGCTGGTACCACCTTGTGACTCGCTCCTTCTCTTCCTTCCCAAGTTTGCATCAGCTTCCCAGCTCATGTCAACCCACGTCCCTCACCTTTTCCAAGAGCTGCAGAGGCCAGAGCTCTGGTGAAGTTATGCCACATCCCAGACTTTGTCATACAGATCAAAACTGACTCAACCACAAACTCAGCAGTTCAGGGACTGGCATAGTTCATCTCTGTAAATACCTGCAACTTTGAACATAACCCAGTCCCATTGGTTTAAAGAAAGAGATACCAAGTAGGTTCTCTAAAAAGGATCAAAATTGAATATGCCTGAAAATTGGCCACTGCAGTACCACAGCAGCTAAGTTTTAGCTCCATGATTTCTAAACTGTTTCTCACTCTTCCCCTTCCTTTGCCCACAGACAATGCTAAAGTTGATTCAGAAGAAGTTGGCTGATAAAACGGTGAGTGTTTCCCCAAAAAAACATACATAGAGTATTTTCTCTTCAGTCCCACTTAGGCCTGGAGATCAGCTCAGAGTGCCAGCTCAGCTTCTCTGACAAACACAAGACATCTCAGCTGATGCTGCAGAATTTCTGGTCTCAGGCTGAGGGCAGGGGAATGTGACAGGGAGACAAAAATATTAAACAAAAAAACCCACTTGCTGACAAGTTGAAAGTGAATAACAAGGTTTTCTTACCTCTGGAGCCATTTGGGGTGATGCCAGAGGAAATGAGTGGTTGGTCTGCGTCAGGCTCCCACATTAGCAAAGCTCTGATTCTGTCCCTTCTTTGACTCTCTAGTGTGATCAGGTGATGGAGTTCTCCTGGAGTGCCCTATGGAACATCACTGATGAGACCCCAGATAACTGTGAGATGTTCCTTAACTACAGCGGCATGAAACTGTTCTTGGAGTGCTTGAAAGTAAGTGGGATTGTCTCTGGGGAGAGGCTGACATGAGCAGTGGAGATGGGGGTGCCTGGGCAGGATCCCTGGCTCTGCTCCTCTCCAAGGAGTACTTCCTGCATTGCACAAATGGAAAAGTAAAAGCTTGTCTATGTTCTTCTCACATCCTTCCACCCAGCCAGTAGAACAGAGGAACTCAACACACCTTCCTCTTTCCCCAGCTTTGCTCAGTTCCCCTGAGCAGAGCAGCAGTGAACAGTGAACAGAGGGCCCTGGTCTCAACCCTCTCACTTCACATGTACCTTTAGCACTCCAGATCCCATTTGGCTCCTGCTAAGGAGCCATTCCTGACTTCCCAAAAGTGCTCAGCCTTTCTAGATGTGCTGTACAGCCTTTCCCCAGGGTTGCTTGTTCTTGGCATCACTGTGGCCCTACCTGTATGTAATCCTGTCCTTTGCTCACCCAGGAATTCCCAGAGAAACAGGAGCTGCACCGCAACATGCTGGGCCTCCTGGGCAATGTGGCAGAAGTGAAGGAGCTCCGCCCGCAGCTCATGACCTCCCAGTTCATCAGTGTGTTCAGGTGAGTGCCTGGCTCATCAGCTGGGCCTGGAGCTCTGCTCCTCCATCACCTGGAGACTCCTAAACTTTGCTGCTTCAGCACCTCTAAGTGATCTCGTCTCCCTTGGTAGCAACCTGCTGGAGAGCAAAGCCGACGGGATTGAGGTGTCCTATAATGCCTGTGGAGTGCTCTCCCATATCATGTTTGATGGTCCAGAGGCTTGGGGGATCTGTGAGCCCCACCGAGAGGAAGTTGTGAAGAGGATGTGGGCAGCCATCCAGAGCTGGGATATCAACTCCAGGAGAAATATCAATTACAGGTGAGGAATAGGAAAAGTTTGGCCCACTCACCCAGGAGCCAGGATTGTCACAGGAAGCCAACACCAACAGAGAGAATGGAAGAGATATAGCCCAGCATGGAGGCTCTGTTCAAAGTGAGAGAGGAACATCCTCAGGGATATTCTTTAGTGAGGGTTTTACATCTTCCTTTGAAATATGTTACACAAGCTGCTGAAATTAGACACCTTACCTGGCAATTCCTATGGGAGAAGTTTGGGAGCCCGACAGAATTTCTCCTGCATGTTTCTGATGAAATTGAGTAGCTCAGGAAACCCATGATCTGTCTGGGACTGCCTAAGCATCATGCTCTGAGACTGCTGTCCTTTGCAGCTCCTTAAGTGTTTGCTTCCCGAAGTCATGTGCTGTAGCTTTCACTCTCAGGGGCATATTTAGACACAGTTCCCAGAAATCCCTTCATGCGTTTATACAACTGCTGGGATCGTCCAAAACCCTTCCTGTAAGAGGGTATCAGGTACTCAATATTCCCTTAGTGCTTGGCAGGGATCCAGAACTGGCATTCTAGTGCCTGTTCCACAGTATAGACATGTCATTGTCGTCAGAAGAAACACAGCAACCCTTGCACATGTGCAGCCAGCTTTGCCTGGGTATAGCTTGGCTTTATCCCCTCTACAGATCGATCAGTGCTGGGTTTTAGCTGTCATGAGCAAATGACTGATGGAGGATGGAAATCAGATTTTGGGCTCAGTCACCCTCCTAGCAGCTATTTATCTGGGCAGTGTCTGTGCTGAAGTGGTGGGGCCTGTAATCCTGCCAGCACTGCCCTGGGACACAGACTTAGCCTTGGTGCCAGAATCTTTGGCGTGCCAGTGCGTTTACTGCTGTGACATCTGTGAGCAGAGTTTGTATTGCTGTGAGTGGTGAAGGTGCTGAAAGAAGCTGCTCTCGGATTTTTAACAACTTCTGTAATATTTCTGTGCAGGTCATTTGAACCAATCCTTCGACTTCTTCCACAAGGAATCTCCCCAGTCAGCCAGCACTGGGCCACCTGGGCACTCTATAACCTGGTCTCTGTCTACCGTAAGTTCCCTTTCTGAAATCACATCCCTTGCACTGTAGAACTTGAGGGGGTGGCTCTGAGGCTGTCAGCAGAAAAAGTCTTCCCAGTTAAGCTATGTAGGGGGAGAAAACCTTTTTTGAATGATGCAGGAATGTCCAGGCAGCATAGCCAAACAAAAACAATGAGACTTGGTCCGTAGGAAATTCCTTCACTGTTTTGATCCTTCTCCTTGCCCTCCTGCCACCCTTTGTACCCCTCTTGTGAGGGCTCACAAGGGCCTGTTTCATTCTTTTCTCTGCAGCTGACAAGTACTGCCCGCTGCTGATCAAAGAAGGTGGGATCCCTCTCCTGAAGGACATGATCAAAATGGCCTCAGCACGGCAAGAGACCAAGGAAATGGCCCGGTAGGACACCAGAGCACTGTCACAAACATCCAGTTTAGCTTTACTTTAGTTTTTATTCTTCCACATCAAGTGAGGCTGCCAAAGCAAGGCCTGCATTGATGTGTGCAAGGGGTATGAAGTGAACACAGGAAAAATAGGTGAAAACAGACTAGAGGTGTTTGTAGGTGGGCAGTGCACACAGATCATTGCCAGGCAAACTGGTTACAGAATTGGCTTGTTGATCAAGGGAGCCATGTGACTAATTGCAGCTCTTAGGCCAATAGTCTCCAGTCATCACTGTCTGTCTCCAGAGTCATATTGGTCTGTCATTAAAACTACTGACTGCACAGTTAAAATGAGAGCATTTTTCAAAAGGTAGAGAGAGTCCATCACCTTTGTGAGCTTCCCCAGTTTTACATGACCTTCTTTTGGAGTCATCTGTTCAGGGTTTTAAAAGCCAGCTGCAGTCTCTGGTCATTGGCAGAGCAAGAGCTGTAATTTCATACCTGCAGGATGAATATAAAAGAGGTAGAGATGGGCTGGGAACACATACCTGGTGGGTGGGCAGCAGGTATTCCCACAGCTGAAGGGTCACTAAGCGCTGGAGGGGACTGGAGCCTGCAGAAGACAGTCACAGTTACACACAGTGTGTGTTTATGGCACAGGTGACAGCACAGTGAATGACAGACATTTGTGTGCACGTGTTTCCTGCTGTGATTCAAAGGTATCTGAGGATTTGGATATGGGGGTGGTGAATGAACAGTCACAAATGGATCTGGATGTGCACTACTGTGACTTGACATTCCAGATTGGGAGCTCTAAGCTGCTGTTGTGGAGTTTACTGGTTTTGACACAAAGAGGATAAAGTTACATAGAGATCAACTGTGGGACAGTTCTTACCTTACTGTCTCACAACTGGGTGCAATAAGCTTTACACTAAACCCTTTCTCCTTGTCCTTGTTTTATCCATAGGAAAGTTATAGAGCACTGCAGTAACTTTAAGGAGGAGAACATGGACACTTCCAGATAGAGGCACTCACCCAATGCCTCTTGCCAGCACTGTATCCAGCTTCTCTCTAACTCACTGTACATAGGGAGGACTCTTTCTTACCAACTCGCCCGTTGGAAGGAAACTTTGTGTGTGTGTGAGACCCTCAGTAGATGAAGGTGAACAGAGGAGGGGGGAGGGACTTTTTGCACAACAAAATGCTTTCCTTACCTTAGTGGACTTTTTTTGTTATGAAGTTTCAGGTTGAAGTTCCGTGTGTATGATTTCTGTATAAAAAGAAAACGAAAAACAAAGACAACTACATTATGTATCTTTTAACCTTTTTGTTTTAGACCACACAGAGAGCCTCAAATGACCATGAGCTTGAAGACCTAGTTGTGTGATCACTAGTGTGACATGTTTATTTCCCACTTTTTAGAGAATTCCCTTTTGCTGTACTGCATGAGGTCCTGTAATGTCTGCAAGAACACCAGTCCTGAATCAGCACTGGCTGCTCAGTGGGGCTGTGGGCAGGGATGAGTTATTTATTTAGTCAGAGAGGTTGGGGGACACAATACCAGAGAGACAGACCAAAAGAACTGACCTTTTAGTGATATTTATACATGGAGAAAATAGGGAAGAAAGATCTTTTAAGTTAATTCGCTCCCTTAAGGGTTTTTTATAGAAGACTCACATTAATGGAAGCACTGCTAACTGTATATGGGTCATCCAGAAGTAAGACATTCCCAGTAAAGTCAAGAGGTCTGTTTTGTCCCCATTGGCAGTACAGTGGGATCTGCCAGCCCACCCACCCTCATAAGGTCAGGGATGACCAGTAAAACCAGTTACATATTCTTGGCTACACAGAGCTTTTCTCTCAAAGGGAGCCTGTGCAAGAAGGCACCAGGTTTGTTCATAAAGGGCTACACATCTTCATTCCAGACCTTCACCACCTTTTAGTTTTGTTTCTTTTGTGGGGAAGGGCTGCAAAGCCAGAGTATTTCTCTCTGCATAATAAACTCTCCCAGGCCCTGATCCAGAGCAGTTGTACCCCTCATACAAGTCCAAGGAATGGCCTGGAGCTGCTCTGCTCTTCCTCAGTCTGCATCAGCACAAGCTGTGCTCAGTGGCACAGTAATTCCCCTTTACAGGTCTCTGACTGCAGCACAACTGCTGGAATTGGAGGTGCTGGAGTCCTCTCCTGAGAGTGGGGAGTCTCCATGCACCCTTTGGAGGGCAATCCCACGAAATAGCCCCTCTTGTTCCACTTTCTTCTCGGAAGCAGAAGGCCCTACTCCTGTCTGACTCCAGCAGCACTTCCCAGTGCAGCCCCACTCCCATCAGCAGCTTTACTGCAGTTTGTGATGCAGGTGAGAGTCCCACCCAGCTGGTCTTCACCTGTAACACTCCAGACCTGTAAGGGCTGAGGAAGCTGAAGTTTCTCCCAGCCAGACACTCTAAGCACAGTGTGCAGCTCATGCTTAGAGCCCACTGCTCACCACAGCTCTTTGACAAGTCACAAATCTTCCCTTAGAAGGGACTTGGAAAAGATTTTATGCCTGGTAGCAGGAGAGGAGCCCACAGCCACGTGAGGTGGGACATTTCAGGCCTCTCAGCACAGTAACTCGCTGCTCTCTGCCCTTGGACGTGTTGCTCTCAGATTTGACTCGCTGCTATGAGGTTCTGCTAATGCTCAGAGTTCATGTTGTCCTTGTGAGCACGTTAGAGACAGATCCTTGATCCACAGACTGACACTTTAACTGACAGAACACAGCTGCCTGGACAGGTTTACTTTTTCTGCCAATATGGTGTTATTCAATGTCTTTTTCTTTTTTCTTTTTAACCATATGTCATTTGTTTTGGTATTGTGAGATCTGTACTTTTTTCTTTTAAGTATTTTTCAAACTTATATATATTTTTGTGTCACTTTCGAATTGTTTTCTTAAGATTTGCAAAACTTGACAAATTATACTTTTTTGCAGTCTTTTAAAATGTATTTTTCTCTCTCTTATTCCTGTTCCCCAAGAATTTGTGTCTCTAAAGCTTTGAGATGGGGAAGCTTATTTCAAGATCTGTTTTCTGTGTAACATTTGCTGATCTTCCTTCTAGATGCAAAACTAAGAGAGGCTGCAAATACTACCAGGCAGCCTTGGTGTGTTAGGGGAGTCAGGTTTTGCTCTTTAATTCCATTTAGTGCTGCTGTCCTGAAGTTGTTTCACTTGACAGTGCTGCCCACCAGGTTTGCTTCCTTCCCAATCCCCATGTAGTGAAAGCTCCTGCCACTAAAATCTCGAATCACCTGACAAAAAACACTGAGGATTCTGACTGTTGGCAAGGAGGGAGTGGAGCAGAAGGGGACACGTCACAGGGGGAGAGGTATCAGAAACCCTTGTCCCCAGAATGCAGCTGCCACCCTGGGGAGACAGTGGCACTCCCATCTCAGCTGGAGCAGAGCTCAGCCTTGCATTGCAATCCGTACAGTCAGGCTTTTCTCTGAGATTTTGGCACAACTACATCAAGGCTAATGAACAACCAGTGACTTGGTTCCATCTGCCTCAAGACCCCAAAGGTTTGGGTTTTTCAAACCAGTGCCTCCCCAAGTTCAGCTGTTACTGGGGTCTCACCTGCTGCATCCCAAACTAACAAGCTCCAAGCTGCACCAAAGCTTTGTTTCCTACTGTAAACCTCTATCCTCACTGCTCACAGCCCCTCAGCAAGCTGTACCTGAACCAGGATAAAAAGATTTCAAGTTCCCAGCAACAAGGAGATTAATGGAGTCAGGCCAGGCTGCCAGAAAAGCTCAGTCTGAGCTGAAATCTGTCACTGATCCCAGGGGAAGGGGGAACTACAACTGGGCAATTACAGCAAGCTACACATCAGACTTTGAGTCAGGCCACAGCAAGGTAAATTCCTGAGACAGCACATTAAAAGAAGAACCATCCCTGTTAGTCACATGAGCTTTGCCTACAAGCTTCCATGTCTTCAAGCCAAGAATTTGTGAGCTGAAAAATAACATTTCCCCTTCAGTAAGAAGCAAAAGAGAGAAAGGTATCCTCTGAACACCTGAGCACAACCCAAGAATTCTGTAATTGGAAGTCTGAAATGAGTTTGTACCACAGTTTCCCTAACTGAAACAAGAGGCGTGACCTGAAAGCAGTTTTTGGAGACAGAGTTAATTGCTGCCATAGATCCAGAGCTGAGGACAGAACAGGAGAGCTGCCTGCAGATATCATATCAGTGTTCTGCAAGGAGGGGAGGGCAAAGTGGCTGATTTTTTTATGAAGGTCTAATGTAAAAGGAGAAGTCAGATACCCTGAAATGCTTGCCTGTTCCAGGGAAGCCTCAGACCTTCCAGCCTTGCTGGATCAAAGGAATGAACCAGGAGACTTTAACTCCACACAGAATCATAGAGCCAATCACCAACCCTGCTCAGAAAACCAGAACAGGGTTGTCACCAGAACTGTCAAGTGAAGATCCAGCTGGAGAGAAGTTCATAATGAGTAAACACGTGGCAGAGGTGCTCCCTGTGCTCAGTAGCTGTTGGCCCACCCAGACTCTTCATGATTTCACTACTACATTTCCTTTAATATTGCAAAGCTTGGCAAGCAGAGCACGAACACAACTCAGTAGCTCCCTGCAGAGACTGTGCCAACAAAGGATCCCTCTGCCTGGACTGTGTAGTTTTCTCCCTGGCTGGAGGCTGCCCTGTCCTTCAGTGGCCCTTGGCTCAGCAGGCAGTGCTGGGCAACTTCCAAACTGCTGGGCAACTTCCCACAAGTGCTTCCATTTTACAAGATCTGTGGGAGGAATTACTTATAAGGACTGGCATCTCCTTGTATGATGCCTAACACCCAGCAGCACCAGACTTTCTCATCTAGACCAAGCCAGGCAAGTTTAGCACTGATATTTGTGGCAATCAGAGCACTGCAGATAATCCATCTGCACCATGGCTGCTGTTTCCCTGCACCTTCCTACTGAAATGTTTCTCTTCAGCACTGAATCCTACCCAGCTTGTCACCTTGGCTGGGCTGCTGCTGCTGTCACTCTGGTCTCTGCAAAGGATGAGTGGGAAGAAAAGTCTTGGAGCTGTGAGCTGAGTTCCTCTCATCACCTGAAGAAGGCAATTAATTACAAGTAGGACAAGAGCTCCAGGGGCACTGCAGTCAGGCACTATCCATAGAAAAAACATTTCCTTGAGACTGTTCAGGGAGGAGCCTGCCACAGCTCAGGTGTCAGAGGGCAGCTTGTGCTAGAAAAAGAGAATTAAAAGTAGGGAAACAGCTGGTCTCCACGACAACCATGTGCATGAAGCACAGAGGGCAATAGTCATCAGGTATGGATGAAAAGGAACATGGGAGCTGGAGAAGACAGCACTTAAATAAGGGTTGAGGGAGATTTCCTGCTGAACTGAAACACTTCTGCTTTAGCAGACTTTGGTTTGATTTCATATACTTGTCACTGATTCTCTCTGTAACTCTTTTCTTGTTTTTAAAGAAGTTTTTAAGCTAACCAAATATGTATTTCCTTGTTTTGCTGAAAGAAAATACCCTCCGTTATAACGAGTGTCTGCTTTTACTCTGTCCATGGACCTGCCTGATGTGGGGGCCTGGTTCAAATGTTTGTACATGGTGAAACCCAGCAAAAAAATCAAAATGCACAACTGCTGCTTCCTTACAATTCTGAATGAATTAACTTTTCTGTTGTATCCATTGGATACCCGCTGTGTATTAAACCTAGTGCTCAACAGTGTCTTCTTCCTTTGGTCTGTGGATGTGGTTTGTTTAGGTACATTACTGGGCCGTTTGCTGTCAAATATTTCATTACAAATGAAAGGAACTGCCATGTGTTGATGGTGCAGTTCAGTGGCTTTGCCTTTCATCACTCCAAGGGATACAATACTGTTTGTCAACAGAAAAGAGACGTGGAGGAAGAGAGTATTGTTAGGAGATTGTGTGAGAAGAGAATAAAAAAATCAGGACAATATTTGAGTGTACAGATTGCTCTGAACTCCGTAACAGATCTGCAGCTCACACTCCACAGCCCAGGCTTTGTAAGTGGGCCGAAGCTGAGCACTTAAGAAAAGCCTCTGGCTTAAGCCAGTCAATCTGCTTTAAGGCCAGCGTGACTTTCTTCTTAAGACTCTGGTCCTGCAAGGGCTCAACTGCTGCTTTATTCAGTGGTCATTGTGGAGTCTCTAAAGGATCAGACTCGGGGTGAACGGAGTGGGAGGAGGAATCATATGAAACTGAACTGCCTCTGAAAATGTGCCCTGTTGTAAGAGGACAGAGAGATACCTTAGGCTTCCAGCAGCATGGAATTCCTAGCTGGAATGCCATGAGAACCTGGAATCTCCACTCAGAAACTCGCTATTAGAGATTTTCTGGAACCGAGCCTAATTTCAACCACTCACTGAGGCTGAAGCCCTTGAGACAGAGATGAGCTCTGATCTCTGCAAGACAGGTTTCACAGCTGAAGGAGAAGATAAAAAGAGTAACATGCACCAAATTATTTTAATCACAAAGAGAGTGAGAATACACTCCTTAGGACAGATTATTCTAGAACATCAAAATGTTTCTACTTTCAAGTGGATAATGTTGTTACTACTCAGATTGCCATTATTAAGCTTTAAAATTTACACCTCTCTGCAAGGAAGGAAAGACACTACCCACCTTTTTTTCAAGCACCAGTACAGTCTGTGAGGTGTCTGAGGGAGGATAGCTGTAAGTTTTGCATTTACCTAGAATAAAAAAAAAAATTAAAGCAAAAGGGTTTGAATGATTATTGAAAATTTTGTCTACAATTTTTATTAACATTTCAACCCAGCTGTCTCAGGATTTTGGAACTATTATAGGCCTGTGATGAGATTCATCTCCCCTAAACTGACAGACACTCCCAGTGTAAATATGTACATCTAAGCTATAGTCACCTTAGCTTTTTTATTGTTAGCAAGAGACATCTGGGGTGCAATTCAACTGCTTTTAGATGCCTGTTTCAGCTGAGAAGGGCCATTCTCTAAACACACCTGCTTCGCTCTGCGGGCGTCCAATGCCCTCGCTCAGCCAGGAGCCTCTTCGGTGCAGACATCCCCGGCCAGATCACATCCCTCCTCAAATTATGTCGGGCATTCTCCAGGCTCCGTTTTGTTCATGGGGTCCTGTAACCGCATCCAGCCAGGCACGGCCTCTGTGCCTCTTCCCGGGGGATGGAAATGAACACATGGAATAACCACATTGGAAAGACTGGAGTTAATGCAGTGCGGCACCTCAGGCACCGCCTCGAGCAGCCTTCGAACGGCACCCACTGCCTGACCCATCTCTGCCAGACCCTTCCATGGCTCCCAGACCCTTCCATCACTCTGCACACCCAGCAGTGTCCGCCCTGGTGGATCGGAGGTGCCGAGCACTGTGCCCAGTCCTGCGCTCCCCACAGTCCAACACCTTCCTCGGGGACAGACCCCGGGGCGCTGGGCAGGCTCGCTGGGCACAACCCGGGCGGTGTGGGGGAGAGGAGGCCCGC